CTCTGCGGCATGTGGAATCTTCCCGGACCAGGGTCTCGAACCCATGTCCCCTGCATTGGCAGGTGGATTCTTAACCCACTGTGCCACCAGGGAAGTCCTGGAGTCCACTTTAAATGAACTTGGCAAATAAGCTTGGCCCGTGGTCAGTCATTACCTGCAACAGGTGAAAAGGAAGCACAAACTCCTTACTCTAGGTGATAACTCCGATCGGGGCACCCTCAGGTTGAATAGTTTCATTTTACATCTTCCTTCCCGTAGTCATGCAGTGAGGCTGCCATCCCACGGCAGGTGGTGGAGGGATTTCAGGGCCCTTGGGTGGACCAGTCAGCAGAAGACAGCCCTGGGCAGCTCTCGAAGCTGGTGTTTGTGGGGGAATCATTTCCAGGCATAGTGGAGCCTCGGGCCTGGGTTCTCCATGGGTGTTAAAATGGTGACAGTTGAGAGTGTTGACCTCATGCCGGGTCAGCAGGGAAGACGAGAAAAGTCAGCCCCTCCAGAGATGCAGCAGGTGGTGGTTTTTGTGCTTTGGGTCTTGACACCAGTTACTCTTGAAGCAGTTGGACAAATAGAAGATGGAAAACTAGGCAATGGCCCACACTTTGAGACAGTTGGTTGGTTGCACTGAGTTGTGAACCACATGGCAAAGTCAGAGGCTGCAGGTTTGGGGTGCAGGGAAGCTGCAGGGCGTGCCACACTCTGCCCACATCTCCAGGGGCCTCCTGACTGCAAACCGCAGTGGACCTGAGACAGGCGAGCAGGACACTTGTAATACACCAGTGCCAGGAACAGATCCACCCCGCCGCTCTTGGGGACATAGACGAGATGGCTCTGCCCTCCCCAGCAGAGAATGAGCGGGCCCTCAGCACTACTGGGCCTGACGCTCAGGGCCTGATGTCCCTCTGGCCTCTGGACTGTGTCGGTTTCACACCCTGGGCACAGCCAGGCTGACGATGTCTTGAGAACACAACCCTGCAAAGACAGAGAAAGCAAACATTGTTTCTCTCTTTAAGAGAGATGGATTTAGATCCGCAGGGATTTAGAATCTGGGTGTGTTTTCTTTTGCAGATTCTGTTATGTTTGGTTTCTTTTCTCCTTTCTTTGCAAAGATACTAGGGAGCTACGGGGAAACCGCTGAGCACACAGGGGCACTGGGAAAGCGTTTTACAGATCTGGAGTGTTTGCTAATGGAGCCGTTCTGGTCTTCCATCCTTTCGTTTGCTTTTGCACATAGGCTGTTTGATTGCTGCTCGTGACACCATGGATCTGCACGTCTTCGACTACTCGGAACCGGGGAACTTCTCCGACATCAGCTGGCCGTGCAACAGCAGTGACTGCATCGTCGTGGACACTGTGCAGTGCGCCAACATGCCCAACAAGAACGTCCTGCTGTACACGCTCTCCTTCATCTACATCTTCATCTTCGTGATTGGCATGATCGCCAACTCCGTGGTGGTCTGGGTGAACATCCAGGCCAAGACCACGGGCTACGACACGCACTGCTACATCTTGAACCTGGCCATCGCCGACCTGTGGGTGGTGGTCACCATCCCGGTCTGGGTGGTCAGCCTCGTGCAGCATAACCAGTGGCCCATGGGCGAGCTCACGTGCAAGGTCACTCACCTCATCTTCTCCATCAACCTCTTTGGCAGCATCTTCTTCCTTACGTGCATGAGCGTGGACCGCTACCTCTCTGTCGCCTACTTCACCAACACCTCCAGCCGCAAGAAGAAGATGACGCGTCGCGCCGTGTGTGTCCTGGCGTGGCTCCTGGCCTTCTGCGTGTCCCTGCCCGACACCTACTACCTGAAGACTGTCACGTCCGCTTCGAACAATGAGACCTACTGCCGGTCGTTTTACCCCGAGCACAGCGTCAAGGAGTGGCTGATCAGCATGGAGCTGATCTCTGTGGTCCTGGGCTTTGCCCTCCCTTTCTCCATCATTGCCGTCTTCTACTTCCTGCTCGCCCGAGCCATCTCCTCCTCCAGCGACCAGGAAAAGCACAGCAGCCGGAAGATCATCTTCTCCTACGTGGTGGTCTTCCTCGTGTGCTGGCTCCCCTACCACGTCGTGGTACTGCTGGACATCTTCTCCATCCTCCACTACATCCCCTTCACCTGCCAGCTGGAGAACTTCCTCTTCACGGCTCTGCACGTCACGCAGTGCCTGTCCCTGGTGCATTGCTGCGTCAACCCCGTGCTCTACAGCTTCATCAACCGCAACTACAGGTACGAGCTGATGAAAGCCTTCATCTTCAAGTACTCGGCCAAAACGGGTCTCACCAAGCTCATCGATGCCTCCCGAGTGTCGGAGACCGAGTACTCGGCTTTGGAGCAAAACACCAAGTGACGCGCTCTGCACGGCCTCCGGGATGGTGTGCTTGCTTCCAGCAGGGCACCGGGCTGCGTCATTTTCCACAGTAAAGCAAAGTGGCTTCAGGCTTGATGCCGCGGTTGTGTGAAAAGGGGAACGTGTGTCCCTGTGGCTCCTTTCTCTCTCTCTCTCGTGCCAATGCGGCTGTCTGTCGCGTGGCCGTGTGTCCCGACGGAGTGGCACCCACTGTGCGGGGCTGTGCCGAGCAGTCCCCGCTGCTTGTCACACCAGCTGCGGGACAGCCTTGCCTGCACTTCTGTACAATAGGACTTTTCTGTGCTCCCTGAAGGTTTTATATGGTGGTTTGTATTTAAATCTTAAGACTTTATTTTTCTCACCCTTGATGTACCTTCTAAATGTATTTGAAAGTTTAAATATATTTTAAATATTGTATGGGAGGTATAATGCTGACATATATTCAGTGTTGTAGTTTCGACATTAGTTTGACTTCCGTTCTGACTAAGGATGACATTAATTGTTAGCTGTTTTGAAAGTATATATATATATATATATACACACACACACACGCATACATATAAATATATATATAAATACATGCCGGTCTCGGCTGAAATGTTTTATTTACGATAGTTTTCTATCTGTGTGGTATTTTGACCCGGTCTGGGATATGGAACGAAAACTGCTCTGTAATGCAGTTTGGGACATTAATATTATTGTAAAGTTACATTGAAAATAAAGAAAGCAACACTATTCCAGTCTGTAACACGGCGCACGAAACAAACCTTGTATTTCAGAGAGTTCTTTCCATTTGTAAGTTATTTTTTTTTAATAAAGTTTTTTTTTTCCTAAAAAGGCATTTGGGTCTAAGTTTTAAAAGCATGTTTGGCATTAGGTGGCATGTTTGACGATAATACAAATATTTACAGCATAGATGATCAACCGAATAAATGTGTTTAAAGAAGAGTACTACCGTAAAGGCAAAGCCCGAGAGATTAACTTGGATGAAATGATATAAAAGGAGAAAAATTTGAGTGTGAGTGTTTTTTTTTTTTTTTAAATTCATGCCCTGGGGCTTCCCTGGTGGCGCAGTGGTTGAGAGTCCGCCTGCCGATGCAGGGGACACGGGTTCGTGCCCCGGTCCGGGAAGATCCCACGTGCCGCGGAGTGGCTGGGCCCGTGAGCCATGGCCGCTGAGCCTGTGCGTCCGGAGCCTGTGCTCCGCAACGGGAGAAGCCACAACAGTGAGAGGCCCGCGTACCGCAAAAAAAAAAAAAAAAAATTCATGCCCTGTGTTTGAGGGAGGGGAGATGGTTGGTAGGTGCCCCTGTCAGCACAAAGTTGGTGCAGAAATGTCCCCACCTTCTGTGTCTGCCCAAAGGGTTTGGGGCCCAGAACCGATCCTCATATATGCCCCGTGTTCCCCCAGGCCATCCGGCATGGGCCTTGAACCTTCCCTGCAGAGGTTCTGTGGTTTAAGTTCTCTCTCTTTCTCTGGTCAAGACAGACTCTTCATTTAACAGTTAACCTATCCATGACGCTCTTCTTCCAGCCTTGCAGTGAGTAAATTCCTGGCCTGTGCATCACCAAGTAAACCCACTTTACTAGTAGTTAGAAAGCGCGCTCTCTGAATGGCCGCTTCTGCTGTGCCCTCACCAGCTCTACCTGGGCCACAGGAGCAGCTGAGCCTCAGCGGGAGCTCAGAGAAGGACCTGGTGCCCCAACGCTGCCATGACCAGCTCCACCTCTGATGGGACCGATGAGCATACAGAGCTATTTGCCAACATAAAGGTCAACCCGGACCAGGATCCAAGTCTCACCTGTGAATTTGGGGGCTGCTATCCTATAGGAAAGCACCTCGTGCATTTCAGCTCCCCTGCCGGCCCACAGTGGGTAGCCTCCTGCAGCCCCCAGGCCTCAGATCCAACCTCCTGCAGGAAGGGTCCCCCTTCTCAGAGGGCTTTATGCCTGAGAGTTTTGAAACCTGGCTTATAAATTACTTTAAATATCTACTTGATACACACATATGTTCTCAGGTCCATATGTGCCTTGCCTTGTTCCAAATAGGATTCGGGTCAGATAATAATAATGTGGGTAGTGGGATAACGGCATAACCATAGGTGAGACACCAAGATCAAGCAGAAATAAGAGCAGAATGGCAAAGTGAAATCAGAGAAAATTATGACCCAAATACAGGTTCCTGAGAATAGAAAAGGGTTGCAATTTGCTCTGTGCTTTCTGGTGGCCTAAATTCAGACAGAAACGTACTTAGCACGTAGCCAGTGTGAAGTGGGGCGCTGATTGCACCCCAAGCTCAGCTCCACAATAGGCGTATCAGAAGCAATTCAACTGAATTTCTCTTTTGAGGCCCCATCTTGGGTCAGTTCAGAGATGCCCAACTCCCCCATCCCTGTCGGCATCTGCTGAGATGTCCTCTTGCCTGCTTGGTCCTCATGCAGGGCTCCTTCTGACAGCTCTGTTCAAGGGTCTCTTTCTGCCGTCCCATACCTCTCTGGACCACGGCGTACTCGGGTACTCGGGGGGCTGCCCCTGGCTCTTTTCTGCATTTCTGCCTTCTCTGAAGCCCAGGAGAATCACCAGCTGCTTCCTCCTGTGCTGAGGTGCAGAGGAAGGGAGGCCGAACTGAATCTAGACGCATCGTGGGGATTTTTCATCTCCCCGCAGGGCTCAGCACACAGTGTCGCAGACCCTACAGGTCTCCGGGATGCAGGCTCCATCTGTGGGATGCTCCAGTGACTAAGGTCTCTCTGGTCCTTCCAGAAATCCCCTTCTTTGCCCTGCCTGGGGCTTGAAGACTTGCTTATACAGACTCAAAAGCCTTCCCTTTGATCTCTGGCTATAACATCCTTCTCGGGAGCAGCGGTACTGGATGGTGTCACTGCAGATGTGATGACAGAGGCCCAGGTCAAGGGTACAGAATACCCATGGGGGCATCATCAGTTAACATTTTAAACAATTTCTGCCCACCTCGCGGATGTGGACCTGGGGTGGGCAGAGGTCATGTGCCAGGTTTGGGGTACGAGGTGGGCGTTGGTGGGGAAGAAGGGCTGGGCAGAAGACCCTGGCCCTCCTCAAACACAGAGGCCAGAGTCTGAATTCTGCCATGCGAGGCCCATTCTTCTGGCGTCCTTTGTGATGGAAAGATCTTTGAAAATGCCAGCCTCGTGAGATAATAATAACACTGTTAGTCATTTAGCAAGTGATGGCATTTGGACCCCATGTGGATGGCAGGAGCTCCAGCGTAGGGTGGGGTCTGGGCTGGGGAGGAAAGCAGCCATCAGCTCCACGACAGGCCCTGCCTGGAGCCCGAGATGGGGAAGCTTTTCAGCTCCCCTCCCTCCCGCCTGGCACTGTGCTCCGAATGGCAGCGACCAACGGGACCACCGCAAGCCACCCTGACGGCAGTCTGTTGTCGGTCAGGAATAAATGCTTTCCACTTGGTTCAACGTATGAGCAATTTACTGGGTTCCCAGAAAGTGAAGAAGAAAAATAATGCCACTGAAAACCCCAGATGGAAAATCCTGTGGGCATAAAACTCTTCGCTGGCCAACGGACTTTAGTCCTCGCAGGAGCCTGGCAGCAAACTGGGATGAGACCCCGTGCGTGTTTGTGTTCAGACCTCTGACGGAGCAGCGAGGAATTTTAACTCACTCGCAGCTGGCCTTTTCTCAGGGTCTCCCCAGGAGACAACAGCTCAGGGATGTGACCCAACATTTTAGGAATGTGGAAATTCTGCCTTTGCTGGGCTCCTCCTGTGAGGACACTGACCCCCAACCAGGGGTCCAGGAGACATTCTGTCTAAGGTAAGCCCAGTATCACAGAATTTGGGGACACACATGAATCTGCCCTGAATGGGGTGAGTGGGGTGGCTGATTAGTGCAGGAAGGTCCGCAGAGCTCCTTTCTGGAAGGACCAGGCTTCAGTCTTAAGCTCCAGGGTGACACTCTGTGTGGATACAAGCCCCTGAGATTTCATCTCTCCAGAGCAATGGTCTTCGGTGAGCTAAATGTTTGAAAAGGTCCACTCAGCATTAAAAAACACTTTACTCCTCTTTGCCTGCGGTCTTGGACCCTCCAAGGAAAGCTCCTTTATACCCCTGATGGTGCACGTACAAGCAGTGCCTGCCAGGATCCTAAAATATCCAGGGACATTTCATATGGAATGATGCTCGTTTAGGCAAAAGGGCTCGTAGGAAATTAGATTACTTATTGTAGGCACCTTGTATTTGCAGCAATTTTAAAAAATTTTTTATTTTTTGCTTTCTGAGTGACTGATGGTGGCCTGACATTTCTGTGAAATACTAAGAGTTTACTTCCCTAGAGCCGGTTCTCATGCACTCACACACACACACACACACACACACACACACACACACACACACACACGTGGGTTCGTTACCATACGGGGTCACTAACACACGCATCACGGACACGGCTTCAACGGTCGTGTCTAGGGTGGTCTAGCCGTTGTCTGGGCCACAGCACTGAGGTCTGCCTTCGGGAAGTGAGGGCCTCTGCTGGAGTGGGGACAGCTGAGCGTGAGGCCCAAAGAGCCCTCAATACTAACGTCCTGGGGAATCTTTGGGAATTCGCAGTTTCCTCATTCATAAAGTCGGATGATAGTAGTACCTGCTTCACAAGGTTCCTGTGATGACCCAGTTCCACAGCCTCTACAAGGTGCTCACCAGCAGCCCCGGGGCACACAGAGCACGTGCTCAGGTCCAGGGCTGCTCTGTCCACAGCCTCGGGGCACAGTCTGCATTTTCTTTGCAAGAAACAATGCACTCCAGAGAAATACTGGGAGAGAATATCTACCTGTGGGCAGTGACTGAAAGAGTGAGGCACATCTGCCACAACCGGGCCATTATGTCCCTGGGGGACATCGGGCAGTGTCTGGAGACATTTTTGGTTGTCTCCCCTGGGGTGGGGATGCTCCCATCATCTGGTGGGTGGAGGCCAGGGAAGCTGCAGAGCATCCTACAATGAACTGACGGCCCCCAGCAAAGAATTACTGGCCCCAGATGCCGGTAGAGCTGAGACTGAGGGACCCTGGTCTCGGACTAGCCAACCACTAGACACACGAATTCTGGCTGCTATGCAATGACTTCCTATGATCCGCTCGGAGCAGGGCCCTTTGGCAATCCCGGGGCTGGGGGTATATCCTAGGGGGGCCTCCGAGCCCTCAGCTTCCCTTTTCTTGCCCCTCAACTCTGCAGAAGGTTGCGAGCTGACAGGCAAGGGCAAGACGTACCTTCAATCCTCGTGCAGGGTTCAGACCAAGAGCCTCACGGTGCCTGAAGAGATTTCACTTCCGCAAATCTGGTTAAGAGCTAAAGACATGCTTGTAAAAAAGGCACACACCAATTAAACTTCAGTCAACATTTGAAGCGCCCTTGGGAGGTTTCACCTTCCAATTTAATATTTACACCATTTAGTTTTAAAGGCCCCAGAAAGAACACCGTTAGTGACAGGGCTGCTTGAGGAGACCAGGGTGACAGATTCAGTTCTGCCTCTCGATAGCTCTGTGATGCTGGCAAAAGTTCTTCCACGAACCTCAGTTTTCTCACCCTTAAAATGACTCCTCCAGGACTTCCCTGGCAGTCCATTGGTTAACACTCTGTGCTTCCAGTACAGGGGGAGAGGGTTCGATCCCTGGTTGGGGAACTCAGATCCTGCAAGTTGCGTGGTGAGGCCACAAAAAAAAAAAAAAACAAAAAACTTCTCCACCTCCATTAAAGGGTTCTTGCAAAGGTCAAAGGAGCAGTTATGCCAGTAAATACTGTTGAGCGACGGGATAAAAGGGTGAACGCTGCAAGATGCTGGGAAGCCACCCAAAGAATCCCCGAACATTCCCCAAGCTTTTTGCATGATTCATTTCACGCTGCCCCAGTGCTTAACTACGATGCAGCCTGGTGTGTCTTCAGTATCATACCTCGAGTGCAGCCTGTACCTTCCGGGCTTGTTTTAAGTCTACAAATGAGTTTATGGTCACCCGTACATCGTCCAGTTGGTCACCGTACACACGTCCTTGTCTAGATTTCTCAGGTTCGTGCTTCCCAAGGACTGAGATAATTGGCGATAGCGGGAGGGCTCTTCATGGGAGGGCCTGGTTATCTGTAGGGTGTGTGAAGAGTGATGGGTGATTTTGGGGTTTTTCTTATTTTCCGAAGCTTCATTTCTGTTGCCTTTTCATATGCTTATTCACTCAGACCTTTCCATGTGGGATTCAGAAGGGCTGCCAGTCAAGTCGTTTCTCCCGATGGGCTGGGGAAGAAAAGAACGGGGCTGGGGGTGGCTTCATCAGCCATTTGTTAGAATATAATGTTCAGAAGCAGCAGAATGGAAAAATCTGAATTTCCATAGTTATTTCCGGAACTAAACTGATTAAAATCCTTTCCTAGGTAGGTCGGAATCTTCCCTTTAACCATGTTTAGAAGAAAAGGCCGAGAGAGTCATTGTGGCGAGGGCATTAAATCTGCTTGGGTGACTCAGAATGTGTGTTGGCACGGCGGCATGTCACGGGGCGAGTCACAAACCCGGCGAGTCGGTGGCCGCGGTGTGTCTGAAAGGGACCCGGGCCTCACGATACCACGCTGAATTTGCTTCCTTTTAGCCTTTCACAGCAAAAGTGTTTGAAGCTGAGCTTTTCATTCCTTTTTGCGAGGCTGTGATCAATAGGAAGAAGGCATTAAAGGTTCCCCCACCGTTGCCTTTCTCAGGGTCGTGGTTAAAAGTAAGGATTGTGTTTTAGGCTGTGTGCTAATGAGAATTTGAATTTTGTGCGGAGCTGGAGTGTCAATGAAAAATCGCCCGTTGCCCAGCTGTGCAGCCCGTGATTATCTTTCCCTGTGATTTATTCCACACTGGCTCCCCTTAATTTATTCATCCATCCGTGCGTGTGTTCATTCAGTCATGGATCGGAGGAGCCTTATTGAGCGCCCACTGTGTGCCAGGCTCTGTGCTTGTCTTTAACATGTCAGAGACAGATGTGGCTTTGGTTTTTCTTATTTTGTTTTTAATTTTTAAAAATTAAAAAAAACTTTCTTTGGCTGTGCCACGTGGCATGTGGGATCTTAGTTCCCTGACCAGGGATCAAACTCATGCCCCCTGCATTGGAAGCGTGGAGTCTTAACCGCTGGCCCGCCAGGGAAGTCCCAGTTTTTCGTTTTTTCTATGCTCCCAGCCTGGAAGGGGGCTTGGACAGTGAGATGCAGAGAAACTGTTATGGACAGGATGCTGAGAAGATTCCTGGTGGCCTCATCTGGAGATGCTCAGAGCCAAGAGGGGGAAGTGATCCTTCCCAGGAAGAATCAGGGAACGTTTACAAAGAGGGGTCCTCCCTTCCCAGCCTGAGGGGCCCCAGGGGGCAGGCCCAGGGGACGGATGTGGGCTGGCAGTCCCCAGGACGGTTTCTGGAATGGCGTCACTGTTAGAAGTAAATGCTTTCAGGAGAAGTGAAGGCATCTGAGGTGTCCAGAAGTAATCAACACTGATGTCATTAATCACTGCATGATAGCCTATTTCTAGGTGAGAAGCCAAAGTCATCATGGCCACCCACACCCAGAGAACAGAAGATGAGGCTTCAGGACAAGGATGTGGGCAGCGGACAGAGGCTTCAGGGAATGGGTGCTCAGCTCTCACGGCTGTAGGATGGACCACTAGACCCGTGTTTCTAGAAGGAATGGGCGGTTCTCAGAGAGCCTGGACTCCTGTCCTGCTCGGCGGCCCTGCTGCAGGCTGATTGCAGCTGGAGGGTCTCTGGAGGTTCACGGAGAAGGGCACGGAGGTCACTTTTAAAGCTGGGCTCCCAGGGTTTCCGTCACATTCTCTCCCCATCACACACAGGATCTGTAAGCTAAGAGGAACCTCATGCTCTTGCCCTTGGTCTCTGGGGTTCCTGGTCTGTAAGATGGCTGGGGATGCCCCGGAGGGCGTGTGGCCACTGCCTGGGCATGTGGGAGTATAGGGGCTTCAGGCAGGGAGGACTCCAGGTGCAAGTTACACTCCTAGGCAAAGACCCTTTCCCAATAAGGCCCCATTTGCAGGCTCCCGTTGGCAGCGTCTTTTGCGGGGACACTGGTCAACCCACTGCAGGGACGCTCCTGCCCACGGATGGGATGGGGTTCCCAGACCAGCCCTGCATGCGTGGGACCTGGCACAGACTGGGCTCCAGCCAAACCCTTCTCCCCCTCTTTGCCTGCTGGTTGGTTTTGGTTTCTGTCTTAATAGTTACTGATCTTTGGTGATCCAGCCACCGTTCACAGTGAGACGCTGAAAGTCCGACTGACTGTGCATTGAGGGGCCCTGAGGCCAGCGAACCCTGGGGCAGAACTAGCTGACAGGGCCGAGACGCTTCACCTCGGCGCCCTGAGGGTGAGTGGCTGTGGCCTTTCTTCTCAGGCTGGTCTCTTTTTCCAGACCTTCCTCCTTCGCTGTGGGAAGTGTAACCCTGATGCGTGGCATCCTGGAAAGGAAACAAGGGAAGGGGGTTAGCGAGTCTCACCATCTGGGGGGACAGTTTTGCTTAACTGCCCTATTTTTAGTCCTTCCTCCTGTACCCACTGTCTGCTGGGCCTGAGTTCCCAAAGCCCAGACTCCGATTTCCCGGACTCCGGTTCAGTTTCCCCATAGGACACACTCTTCTGTCTGGATTGGGACGGGTGGTCTTCTGAGTGTGAAGTAGGGGCGGGATATGGGGAGGGTCTAAGATCACATGTCTTCAGTTGCATCCAGTGGCATCTTGGTAAATGTTTAACAACTACCTTCTGGAAGGAAAAAACAGCCCTGATTTCTATTGTCTCTTGATTCCTGTGGTGTAAATATTCCCATCATGGTCCATTTCAAGCTACCATGTGACGTCACTGAAGACAGATTCGGGAAGAGATGCTTGTAGCACATTCTTCACATAGACACAAGTGACCGGGGTCCCCTCAAGAGCAGACGGTGGCAAAACGTGATAGAAGAATTAGGAAGTCATGCATCCTGAGAACTTTATCTCTGTTGATTTTTTTTTTTTTTTTTTTGTGGCCTCTCCCGTTGCGGAGCACAGGCTCCGGACGCGCAGGCTCAGCGGCCATGGCTCACGGGCCCAGCCGCTCTGCGGCATGTGGGATCTTCCCGGACTGGGGCACGAACCCGTGTCCCCCGCATCAACAGGCGGACTCTCAACCACTGCGCCACCAGGGAAGCCCTTTATCTTTGTTTTTAATAAAATACTTTAAATTCTAAGTTTATATAATTTAAGTTTTGATAATGGCCATGTTTAAAAGCTGACTCACAGACATCTTGGAAATGTAGCAATTGGTTCTTGCAAACCGTATGTTACGCACCACACCACTGGGCCACATCACCCTCTCATTGGCACCTGGTAGCTCAGATTTCTAAGGCTTTTTGGAATCTGTGGCATAAATAGGTTTGTTTCTTACTGGTTTCTCCCTCTGCAAGCCTTCTGATTTCGTTGCAGTTTTAGAAGATGGAAAGTAGAAGGTGAGTGAGTAGTCAAGGTGAACACATTTATATATTGATATATATGTGTATATCCACATACACACACGTGTATATGTGTATTTATATTTCTTTTTATTTTCTCTATTGCCCTTGTAGTGAGGTTTTGGGAAGGTGTGCCAGTTATTCCTTGTTACAGTTTATAATTCTTTACATTAAACCTTCCCTGTTCAAATTCCTTCTCCTGATTGGGCCCTGACTGAGATGGGGCGGTGCCGGGTGAGTCAGTGCAGTCGACCTGCTGTGTCACACGGGAAGTTCAAGTTCAAGCAAGCTAGCTGTCTTAGGGTTTTGTCTTCCCTCACGGTCTGCAGCCACACTGTCATTCTCCCACCAGGGCCGTCACCTCAGTTTAAGCCCTTTCTAGCTTCATTTGTTGTTTTATCTCTGTCCCTCCAACTCACCCTTCACACATATGACAGAGTCATCCTTCCAAATGTTCTGCATGGAACATCCGTCCAAATGTTCTACAAGCTACACTTCGGGGGACTCCTGGTCCCCAGCTTCTGGCCACTCTGGGCCATGGGATGGGCCCAGCAGGAGGGTGGGCACATGGGAGGAGCCAGGCTGTCCCTTCCTCCCTGTCTCTGCTTTGGTCAGTGTCTCTGGCAGTGGTTACATCGTCTCTGTGATCCTAATTCCCACTTGTGGTGCCTGGACACAGAGCCTCTCCTGCTGGGTGGCCTTGGCCTCTGCTTGGGTACCACCTCCGCTCCGTTCCCTGCTAGATGCTCATCTCCAGGGGGCCTCGTGGTCTTTGAATGGCTCTTCAGCACGGTCAACAGGGTCACACACCGTTCACCAAGGTCTCTATGCCCTTGAAAGGCATGATTGCTCTATCGGGGTCTCTCCTGAGACAGTGTTTTCCAAGATATTCAACTCAAAGCCACGGGCTCCTTGTTCCTGGCCAGACTCTGAATCAATGAATCCTGTCCTTGAACTTGACAAAGTCTCCTGCCCTTGGCAGGGAGAAGGTGGGGACATTCTTGATTCCCACCCATCACGCCCACTCCCTTGCAGTTGATCTTTTTCTTTTCTGTTTTCTTTTTAGCAAATTCCAATACTCGACACTAGCATGGGTAAAACTCCACCTTATTTCTACTACTGCCCACGTAGAATCCTGAAACCCAGAATATCCCCTCTCTAGCACTCAGGGCTTAACCTCCTGCCTGATGGTGACCAAAGGCCCTGGTGCTGGCGGAAGGACCAGCTCTGCAGGGTGACCACTAACAAGCGGGCTGGAGAAGGATACACAGCCCAGCAGCTGAGGAGGGTGAGTGACTCACAGGTGTGGAATTCCAAGGGTCAGGCCACGAGTGGTCAGTGAGGAATTAGGTGTGGTCACTGGTAGTCTGCCTGGAGGCTGACTTAATCAGCTCGTCATCTCTGGACCGCCCAGGCTCAGCTGACTGTGGGGACCCTGCACATTTTTCTTCCTGGTTTGAGTCCCCATTGGGTGAAACAAATCATGAGGAGACCAGCCTCGTCATCACCCTCATTTGTGACCAAACCCCAAAGCCCCGGGCTCTTTGATCGCAAGTTACAAACTCTGCTTCTCAGATGCCAGACTCTGGGGTTCAGGCCAGCCCTTGTTTCATAGAGAAGAAACAGACACAAGGAGGGCAAGTGTCTTAGCTGAGGTTGGGGAATTGTCCCTGGGGGAGTGGATTTCAGGTGAGTTATGCTCCAGGCAACAATGGCTGGTGGGAGGGCACAAATACAACCGCGGGGATGAGGGATGAATGGATACCCAGCACTCTGTGTCCTGGCAGCGTTTCTCCAGGAGTCCCCAGCCCAACCGGAGTCCTGGTTCTCCTTGAGAAAGGAGCATCTTGGAAAGATGCTAAAAAGAATTTACTAAAAAGAAAACAGAAAAGAAAAAGATCAACTGCAAGGGAGTGGGCGTGATGGGTGGGAATCAAGAATGTCCCCACCTTCTCCCTGCCAAGGGCAGGAGACTTTGTCAAGTTCAAGGACAGGATTCATTGATTCAGAGTCTGGCCAGGAACAAGGAGCCCGTGGCTTTGAGTTGAATATCTTGGAAAACACTGTCTCAGGAGAGACCCCGATAGAGCAATCATGCCTTTCGAGGGCTGGAAAAGATGGCTGTAACTTTACAGGTGGGAAAGTAACTTTCCGTTAGTGGCTTGCAGTGAAATTGTGAGATTGCTCTAAGATTGCACTAAAATTGTGAGATTGTGCTGAGACCAAACTGCTAAATTGGTAGCTTTCCCTTTGGGAAGCCGGGGGGGGAGATGGTCTCCTCTTGAATGTTTATTCACCCTTGGCTTGCACAATATGCCGGCAAGTCTTCTAGTGCATTTCTACCCATCCTGGGAAATGTGTTCCACATTCGCTGGAAAAATCACGTCGGAAGAGACATCTGAGAAGTGCATGGACCGACCCATCACTTGAGGAAGAGCCTGAGCTTGTGGATTAGAACTGACCCACGTGCACCTCTAGTAACGGGAGAGGCAATTAGACCTGTTTCCACATCCCCTAAGGCGAGCGTGAGTGGCCAGGGGATGTGCGTGGGGCAGGTGGGCCTGGCTGCCTCGAATCTTGTGCTGAAACCATCGTGTAGGACAGAGGGACCCGCAAAAACGGGGCTGTCCGACTCCTGTGGAATCGGGTCCCACTGAGTTGTGGTACAGTAGATCCAGAAGCAATAGCACCCTGGGCTGGGTGGCCCCGCAGTGAGTGAGAGCCGGGCCAGACAGGACTCTACGGCTCTTATGAACCTCACGTGGTTAAGCCTGGCTGCACAAAAGAATCTGAAAATCAGTTGAACAATCATGTTTAATAAGAGACCATATCTCAGCCTCAAATTAAGTTCAGGGCTGTTGAAAATGCATCAAAATCTTGCTTAGCTCAGCAAGTACTTCCCTGTGTAGAAAACTCAGGAATTTATTAATGATACTTTGCATCATGAATTATTTTACCTCCCTACCCCTACCGTCAAGGTGCTTTGGGGGTTTTAAATGGCAGACGACCCAGAAAGGGGTGTGGGCGGCAACTCAGGTACAAGGGGAAACAAACAGCATGTGAAGGGATTGCCAAATGCTGGAGCTTTGGGGCCTAGCAGGTCTGGGTTTTACTCTCCATTAGTCTCTGTGTGACTTTGGGAAAGTTACACATCTCAGAGCTTTGGTTTTGATGACTATGACATGGGGATGCAGGTGGTATCTTTTTCACGGGCTTGTTTTGAGGATTCATTCAGAGAAAGCGTATTCACTGTAAGGCATAATGTTTGATAAATGTACACACTCAAGACAGGTTTGGTGTGGTCACAGAAGTTATGGTCCCTCTGGGCTCCTGCATCACTTAGACCTGGCTTCCTTTGTGTCCCGTGTCCCCAGCTAGACATGAGCGCCCTGAACCAGGAGCCAGGTCGTCTCTGCACACCCACCGCCCAGCACTGTGCTTCGCTCTTTGCTAGTTGCTCAATGCAGAGCTGTTGAATAAACAGATGAATGAACAGAAGAAGGAGAGTCAGAGCTTTTACCACTAAGCCCCAAGCTCTTCACGCTACAATCTGCTGCCTTTAGAGAGATGCCATGACAACAAACAGTGAAAGCAGGAACACGATTGGTTTAAACCCATTCAACAATGGTGCCCTGTGCCATGGCCTCTAGATACATTCAGAAATGATAACCGAGGGGGCCTGGAGGCTATGACGCCCCGCCTTAGCAGGCATCCCTGGACTTGGTCTCCTACAGCAGTGGTCCTCAACCTTTTTGGCACCAGGGACCAGTTTCGTGGAAGACAATTTTTCCATGGACGGGGCGGGGGATGGTTTAGGGGGTAATGCAAGCGACGGGGAGCGGCAGATAAAGCTTTGCTCGCTCACCTGACGCTCACCTCCTGCT